CCCAGAGGATGACTCTATTTTCGAAGACGTTAAAACTTTAGTTCCAGGTCAAGCTAAGCCTGCAACTGAGTCTGCAGCCGATCCTCAAAAGATTCTTGAGAGCCTTAAACACATTGGTGATCAAGCATTGCAGAAACAAGGAGAACAGCAAATGTCCTCTACAAGCAATCCTATTGCCTCAGTGACAGTTGCAAGCACACTCTTAACTCAACCTGCAAAATCTCTTTTGGCCAATTGTCAGTTGCTACAGCTTGGCAAAAAGGTTGAGGAGCTTGTGAAATCTTCATCCGTTGCTCCTTTAATCAATCAGAGGAGAGATCCCAGACAAAGCAGGGATCCTCGCCAGTCTACAGGCAGCAGAAAACTGTCTGATGAACTTGAGGACAAAGAGGAGACGCCTGCTCCAGCGACTGATCCTGTTCCTCCAGCCTCGCAGCCTGAGGTGCAAGAGCTGCAGTCGCCTAAAACAGGCGAACCTGCAGACTCGTCACAAGATTCAGACCCCTCACTGCATCAAGAGGAAGTGAAAAGTGAGGCGCTAGTTTTCATGGAATCGGACAAGGCAGAGGTTTCAATTCCTTTATTAGGCGAAAAGGTGGACCCTGATATGGAAGTCAGCTACACAGATGAGAAAGAAGAGAAAAAAGAGGAAAGCGAGCCAGTTAAGTCTGAAACAAAGATGGACAAGTTCAGTATGTGGCCAAATGCAGCCAGTATTTTAAAAGCTGAGGATTCAGAGTATGAGGAGAATAGCCAAGAGACATCTACAGCAAGCTATTACAGTGAGCCTGCAAAAACATCCACAATAACTTTGACAATCCCAGTACTCACTCAGAGCACAGCAGCAGCTGACACTCAGTCACATCACATGCTGCATCACATGACAGGGTCAGACTTCGACAGTGAGTACAAACCTCCAGCTGACATTCCTCCACAATCCAACTTCTCCCTTCCCCGTTCCATGCAGGGCCAAAATCTAATAATGAGGCCGCCTCCAGTGCCTGTGCTACCACCCATGCAGGCCATGCAAGGTCCTCCAATGTCAGCCCCCCCTCCTATTCAGGGACCCCCTCCAATCCATGTTCCTCCCCCTGTGCACAGTCATCCCCCAATGCAAGGTGACAGCAGTCAGCAGTATGGCCCACCACCATCTTCATACCCTCCCTATCAAAACCAGTGGTCAAGCACGCAGCCACCACCTCAACAGCCACCACCTGGCCCACCACCTCAGAATATCATGCCACCCAGAGGCCCACCACCACCACCATTCCCTCCAGTAGCCCAGAGGGGCCCACCTCCTCAGATATTTGATCCCTCCATTCCCCCTCAGCACATTGGACAACCAGGTCCCCCTCCAGGACTTCCCCTTCACCCCACCTTCGATGGACAGAACAGCTTAGCTCCTCCCAGATTCACTAGTCCTCCCCCACCACCTTTTAATTTCCCTGGAAACAGAGGTCCTCCTCTGCCTTTCACCGCTCCGCCACCTGGTCACTTTGATAACAGGCTTCCTCCTCCAAATCTCTTTCCCGGGCATAGGGGTCCCCCACCACCTCAGTATGGTGACCATGGGGCTCAACCAACAATAGTAGACCAGGCTCGAGGATCTGCAGAACAGTATAACAAAGATGCTGTTAATAATCCCAATCAGGGCCCTCCACCAGGTCCAAACTACCGGGGGCCTCCACATAACCAGTATGAGGACAGACGAGGTCAGCCTCCCAGTGGGGAGCACTTCAATCCACAAATCCAGTATGGGGGCTCCAGACCTCCATCTTCACCACCACACCGAGGATTTTTTGATGAGCACAGAGGTCCTCCATCTCAGGAAACCAGACCTCCACCTTTTGCAGGCTCTGACCGGTACCGCTTTGACAGGTACTCTGATGAGGCTAGACCTGTTCGCCACAGCGGGCCATTGCTGCCAACTCCTCCGGAGGCTCCACTAGGTCCGCCAGACCTACACCGGGACGATCACTGGCGCCGCCATTCCCCTGAAATGAGGAGGAGGAGCAGCACCACCCGTGAGGACTCAGAGCCTCGCAGTGGAGATCGCTTCAGCCGCTTTGAAGGACATAGAGAACTCATTCATGGTTCCTCACAGGCCCCTGATGAGAGGCCGAGGGATCTGTCTGAGGACCGCCGGAGAGAGAAAGAGAGAGATGTCCCTCATGCTGGCAGGCCTTCATGGGACAAGGGGCAGGGAAAGAGGTGGAGCCGAGAAAGAGAGTGGGACAGAGGCAGAGAAAGGGACCGGGATCATGAGCGTAGCCGAGAAAGAGACCGCAGCAGAGGGAGGGAGGGTGAGAGGCACAGGGATGCAGAGGGAGAACGACACAGGGATCAAGATTCAGACAAAAGGCGAGACCGAGATAGGGACAGGGAAAGAGACAGAGACAGAGTTAGGGAATCTGACAGGAAAGACTTGGACCGAGATAGGGGAAGAAACCGTGACAGAGAGCGAGAACGAGAGCGTGAGAGAGACAGGAAGCGGGACCGATCCAGAAGCAGAGAGAGAGACCGTGACAGGGATCGTGGGAAAGATCGGGGTAGAGATAGGGACAGAGACAGAGATCGAGATAGGGACAGAGAGAGGGAGAGAGAAAAGGAGAGGGACCGTGACAGAGGCAGAGATCGTCGGGAAAGAAGCAGAAGCCGAGATAAGAAAGAAGAGAAAAAGGACAGTAAACACGATTCGTCCAAGGACAGTGATAAAACCACAGAAAATAGCAAGAACGTTTCCTAGTCTCTGTTTTATGGACATTATGGTTCCAAGACTTTTACATCTTTAATCACTGTAAAAACAGAAGAGCAGTATTTCGTCAGATTTCCACGGTTGTGTTCCTACCAGACAAAAACATTTAAATATGTTTGTATTCTCTTTGTCACCTAAAGGTTTCTAAGTTTGTTTTATTACATTTGAAAAGCAAAAAACTGAATGCAAGCTAAACTGCTTGTGGTACAAGACGTATTAATGTAGGCTGCACAGTCCTATTACATGTACCTTTTTTTTGTCAAAGCATTTTTCTTTTTAGAAAACAATAATGTAACTGATTCACACCATTTGCAATATGTAAATATGAATGTATTTGTGTATATAAGGATGTTTTTAATCATACTTTTCTAAGTAGAGAAAATAAAAGCCATATATCTGAGATGGATAATGTGAAGGCTAAAGATACACTGAGACATAAATGTGTTTATATGTTCAACAGATTTGAAATAAAATGACATCAGCCTTACAGTATACACGACAAAAATGGTTGTTTATGAACTGTCACTTTATTTTGTTTCAGCTCTACTAATAAACCTGTTTGATGGCATTTGTTTTGGATGTAAACAGTTTTTCTTTCAAATATAAATGAAACGATTATTCATCTTAAAAGTGGTGTGGGGTTTTTGTGTTCACACTGCTGTTTTAGCTACACATACTGATTATTAGCTTATTGAGTCAGATGATAAAGTGAGCAGTTTGGGTTGTTAAAGATCAGAAATTACTAAAGCTTTTCTTTTTCAGTAATAATCCACATATTAATCTCGCTAATTAACTTTCAATTTAGGAGCTCATTTTTTCAGTCAGTATAGAACCACCATATAATATTTTGGCCATGGCCTGTACTAATATGAATATATATATAATTGTGAAGAAATTCAAGCTTCAGCAACACTGAATACATTACAGAACCTCTTTAATGTTTGACCCATGCTGCAGTAGAAAAACCATACATCCACATCTCCTGATGAGGCGCCAACTAGGCCGTCCAATAGAAAACTTTTACACCACCATAAGCCAGATAGATCCACCTGTGGGGGTGGTGTGTTATTCCACCCAGCGTCAAGCAATTTAAAACACTTTAAAATGAAACTGAAAAATAACCTGAAAGATTACAAGAAAAAAAATTCCTTCAAATTTTTTTTTTTACATCTGCAAGGAAAATAAAAAGCAATGAAAAAATAACGATATGAGTTGATGAAGGATAAAAACCTCAAGTACCTGAATGGTTTTAAAACCATACGGAGGAAAACAGGCTTAGTGTATCAGCAAGCCTCTTCAAGGCCATTTCAAATTGTAACCTGCATAAACAATATAACATTATCCAACCTTTAACCAACCAAAGAAGGTGTGGGGTTTATCACCTGTAAGACAGAGAATGAATTTATATGATACAATATCCATGTAACGTGATATATATTAATGAAACCGACAGTTTCCTTAAAAAACACATAACTGAAGACCGAAATTTAGCTGAGAGAAAAAAACAACCAGTAATGTTGCCTGGCATTTCAGTAAAAACATCACATTTCATCCTTTTTTATTACAGACAGAGGTGCTTGAATCTAACCACAGATGGGTTGATGCCAGTTGTCTCAGGAAAAGGAAGGATTGTGGCTTTT